CAGAATATATGTCAAGATAAATCTGCAGAGAAGTCATATGTGAAATGTTGTACCAGATGTGTACTGTTATCATACTCACTTCGGATAGAAGACTAGGAGGTGTTGAAAAAATATATCTATTATTTACTTTGAAAAATTATGTCTTTTTTAAACCTTTCCTTCGACAGCATCGCCTACGCCAAACTAATTAAATAGCTCTCACTGAACGCACCGCTACGAAAGGAAAGGCTAGCCGACAATCTATCGCTTGGATCGGGTCAGTGGTCGACGAAGGCACTTGCCTGCGTGTCCGTGTACTCGGCCTTTCGGGACTATCAAGACAGGGAAGTCCCACCTTGCTCAAGCGCCCCTCCCCCCCTTATCCTCTTCGGATTATTATTATTGTCTTGTTTCCCTGCGCGACTCGCCCAGCAGCAACTTGGGCTGGACATGGACGCGTCTTCTACCCTTGAGGGTGTGACGTGCCAGACTGTCTCCCTCCGGCAGGTATCCGGACGCAGCCGCGGCCGCCAATGCCAGCCGAGCCGTAAGTCAAACGCCCACTCGCAAGAGAGCGTCCGGAAGTATCGGCGTGCAGCACAGAGTCGCCCTCTCGCTCTCTCGCTCGCAGGGCTGGGCGTGCCCCCTCCATCGCAACCAGACAGTGCAGCGACCAACCCAGTGTGTTGTTTGATTTGTTTCACTTCCGGCGAAAGGTCATGCCACCTGCCAGCTCCGCTCCGCTCCGCGCCGCCCGCCTGCGCACGGTGTTTCGCAGTTCGCGAGAAGTTCCAGATCAGCATGAAGTGCTGTCAACTCGCATGGGAGCGATGCAGTACTATCGAACCGGAAGTGTTCGTGTGGTCCCAATCTCCACATCAGTCGGTGCAGAGTGGTGAGTACTCCTATGGGGTTCGAGACAGCCTCGGCACAGTAACCCAGACGAAAGAGCGGCGCCGTTGGATCGCGAGTGCCGCCTCAGGCCACCTAGCTTCCACCCTGAGTCGCAGGCGTCGAGCGACCGTAAAATGCGCCGAGTAAAGCCGAGAGGAGCGGACGTGTGCTTTGTGCTTTCTGGACGATCCCCAAGTACTATAGAGGGGGACCATACCTCACCCTCACCCGTAGGTTAGGTGACTCTGATGGCGTGATGGCGAAGGGTTGCCTCCGACCGTCCTTGGCTGGCTGGTCGTGGTCGAGATAAGTCGGGCCGCGGGTCAGCGCGTATCGGCGGCGTATCGCGCTCCCTAACGACCAGCCGTGCTGAGCCAGTCAGGTGGCTGCCCAGCCGTGCTCAACAGGCTCAGCACTTCCTCATCCTCGCGTTCCTCTCCCGCGCCGCCCCCGTCACGCGGGACCGGCCCGGTGTAGTGGCGCATGCGAGATCAACAGGATACACCCGCATGCACGAGCCACGCGAGACCATAGGAGGGGGCTGTTCAGAAACCACGCGGACTTTAAGGGGGGGGGGGATACAACTATTGTAAAGTTGCAAAAGGATCAGGACGGACGGTCATTATTGAAGTCCATAGAGGCCCAATGATATTTCTACCCCGGGGTACCTCGAATGACCGCTCTTCGTCCTGGTCTCTTTGGAATTCCATAATATATTTGTATCCCCCTAAAGTCCACCGTGGTTTCTTAACAGTCAGTCGGGCGG